TATATCGGAGACTCTCGGTCTCTATACTGCATGTATATTATTGAAAAAATGTTATCTCTGTCGTTTTTATGTGAATATGATGTCTTTAGACACCTAATTTGTATGAAATATAATGGCATATAAATTTTACCTTATGAACCTTCCCAGACAGTAGAAAAGTTAAATGGATGTCCTGCGAATCTCCTAAAGATGTTAAATATTCGCGGGGCATCTTTAGAACGTCCCTCAAACTTCTGTGCTGTCTTGTTTTGGACATTAATTCTGTTACTTGCCTGGAGTAATTGTTCAACATTTTTTTGCACATATTTTTTTATATTTTTTGTTTATTTCATGTCTCACACCCAAATGCGTAAATATAAATATACTGAGGAAATACAAAATAGATATTGAAATGCGTATACAATTGCGAAAATGTATCTCATGCAAATAATAGGGTCAATAGTAGGAATGCATACATAGCTTTGTTAATTTCGATTATATTTTAAAATCGTAGTTTTCCGGAGAACAAGTGAGATGGAAATTTAATACGCTTACTCGAAAATATAAAGACTGTGTTGATAACAGTAAAAGAACTGGTACTGGTGCCATGACATTTAAATTTTTTGATCATATGGAAAATATTCTTGGTGATCGGAGAACGGTACACAATCAACATACAATATCATCAACTTTTGCTAGGAAGAATCCGAAATCAAAACCATCAACTGCGTTGTCACCACTACCTGATAAAAAGATATCTGATTCAACATCCATGGCACAAAGCGATACATCAATTCCATCACCGAGCACATCTAGTACTGGAAGCATTGATAGTACTAAAAAACTAATGTACCTATCGAAATCAGAAAGTGGATCGAGTAAAAATAAGCAAGTTCTTGAAAAGGTGATATCTTCAAACACGGAAATAACTACGTGTTCCACATCCGTAAGCAACACACAAAAGAGTAAACGTCCTCAACATGGCACAGGGAGCAGAACAGCGGCAAGTAAAATAGAGCTGGAAAAACAATGGTTACAGCATTTAAAAAATGAAATAGATAGAGATAAAGTGAGAAAAGAAAAACAGGAAGCTTACGAGAAAAGAAAAGCAGAAGAAGTGCAAATGAAAAGGAAATTGATAGCACTAAAAGAAAGACAGTTAGATGTTAAACAAATCACTGCTAAGCGTAAGCTGGAGGAAGTAGCAGAATGGCACCGAGACAAATTAAACATTGAGAAACAGAAATGTCGATTGCTTAGAGAGCTATTAGAAACTCGTACTTCATCTCACAGTAAGAGGCTTAACACTGATACAGATAGTTCGTATGAAGACTGAAAAATATGAAAAGTTCGCATATATTTTTTTTTATTTTTAAAGTTTTTACTAAATAAATAATGTTTTGTTGAGTAAATAATACGAATATTTTATGCATAATAGTCTCATTCAATCAGATAAAGATGCACCACTGTTAGACATATCTGATTGAAAAAATCTTTGGTTTTGGCAAATTATGTAACGATTTTCAATCGCACCAGATGGTCTGATTTATCCTACTTGATAATATTTTTATATGCGGCAATAATACATTTCTTTTATTTTTCCTATTTTATTTTTATATTTGTTTTCATTTTTTCTATTATTCAGAGAGATAAATATTTCAATGTTATAAAAAATTATTTTAGTGAAAATGATATGTATGGATAGATATTTTTGTTCTTGTTTATTCTGAAGATTTTTATTTTTATTTAATTATTTGTATTCTTAAATATATATATATATATATATATAACATAAAATGTTAATTTTGCACACGCACGCACGCAGCACGCACGCACGCACGCACGCACACACACACACACACGTGTGTGTGTGTGTGTGTGTGTGTGCGTGTGTAAGATTAACATTTTATGTTTAGATTAATATAGATATTGAAATTTTTTTATCATTTATTATAATTAATATAATAAAGCAATTAATATTGCGGAAATGTAAACCATTAGATACAATGTAAAAAATGTAGATATCAAAATATTACATTTTATATTCATGTTTTTAAAGGCTGTGGTTAAAATAAATAAAAAGATGTTCCTCAAAGTATAAAAATTTGTATTTTTTTAAATTTTAAATTAAAAAGTAAACAGAAAAATTACAAAAATTATTAAATTGCAGCATTTTTATAACTAATCTGGAAATAGCTCATAGAACATTTGCATTCTCCGATCTATTATTTCATTTCTATTTCTGTTAACATGCAAATTGTTAATTTCACAGTTGTCATTCGCGGCATTATCTATGAAAGAGTCATTAATGTCATCAGCAAAGAATTCGTTCTCATCATTTTCTTTTATAGCAATATTATGCATAATACAACCGGCTGTTATTAATTTTGGGATGAATTCGATATTAAGTAATTCTAAAAATTTCAAACGACGGAAACGTCCTTTCAAGTAGCCAAACGCTCTTTCTACTGCCATCCGCGTTGAAGAATGTAAAACATTAAATTCAGACTGTTGTATTGTTAAATTTCCATTATTTCTGAATGGTGGTACAAGCCATGGTAGCAACGGATAGGCTGAATCACCTATTATGCATGTTCCATTAGGGAAAATATTTTTTATATTATCTTGAGCAGTAATATAGAGTAACGACCTTCTTAAAACACGTACATCGTGCAGTGAACCTGGTTCTCCACAGTAAATATTCGTAAATTTCATATCTGCGTCAACAACACCTTGTAATATGACAGAGAAAAACCTTTTTCGATTGCAATAGTCTGTAGGATGATCAACAGGCTGTCGAATTGTGATATGCGTGAAATCTATTGCTCCGATACATTTTTGTATTCCTCGTTTTGCCTCAAATTTTTGAGATGTCTTGAGAATCGCGTCATTTCTCTCTGGCCATATTATCTCTTCATCCAGTCTTGATAGGAGCCATTCCACAACACGATGTATTACACGAAAAATCGAGGATATGGATACATCGAATCTATCTCCCAAGGTTCGTAATGGTTCAGTATTTGCGAGATACCAAAGAAATATAAGAAAACTCCACTCAGCAGAGATTTTACGTACACCAGAAGAATGAGATGGGATAAAATCGCTTTGCTGCAGCAAGTCTGCAAATATGAATGACACATAAATTTAAAAATATACTATATAAATAATACATAATATAATAAAATATGTCAATAATATAGAATACTTGTTTACTTATTTGAAGATATGCTGTATGTCGCGCTAATCTAAAATGCTCTTTGAATACAGTATCACTATATAACTGAACAGTGTCGAGGAAGCCTTGAACTTTGCTACGTCTCCTTCCACGCATGAGAAGTTGATACAATGGAAATAATATATCATCTCCAACTTCTTCGCTTGAGGAAGATGTATCAGATTCGTTAGAGTCGATTATCTCACTAATGCTGTCATTTAAAATATTTGAACTTGAACTGGTATTAGCAGAGCTAGATGACAAATCAGCAGCAATTGCTATAATTATATTATCTTCCATTTCTAATTGTGACATTTTGCACATGTTATTTTACATGTTATATATATCTGAAATAAATAATTAAATAATGTAGGTTGGTTTCATTACAAAATCTATTAATAAACAATCTATTAATATACAAAATACATTAAAATAAATAAAATCCCATATAGCACACACAAATCTCTGAAAGACTTCTGAAACAGAAGTTCCAAAAGAGTTCCCAAGTCCTCCAGAACACTTTTGGAATTCTTTAAAAAGTTATTTGGAAATTTGTGCTATCTGGGATACTTTAAAAATAAAGTACCCTTTTTTTATTAAAATATCCAGATCTTTTCCAAAATGTGGTGCTGGTCTTCTCAATAATGAATTAAAAAACTTAACCTGATGACAGAGAACGAGACGTAGCGTCGTAGTCTTGGACGTAAAGGCAAAGGAAAAAAATATATAATAATATTCGCGAAAAAAAACTAATATTCGCATTTACACAATTGTAAATCACAACTTATATATAACGTATAAGTTTTTCTCTGTCTTACTTTACATCCACGACTACACGCATCAGTTTTGTTTTCTGTCATCAACCTAAAAAGTACGCAGATGGTGAATATTTCAGCCATGAATTAAAGAATACCAAAGCATGGACATAGTGATGAAAAATAATCCTAACTCTAGCCAACATTAGTACACACATTGTTCCAATCAAGTTATGCACAACGTTACACTTTGTGCATTTCTGTGTACGTATATGTCAAGATGTGTTAAGCAATTGGAAAGCACCCAATATAATTAGAATAATATAGAATATTCGCATAGTGAACTTGCTTGGACACGAACAAACGCGTTCGGCATGACATCATCGCGTCGCTATGCATCACGCCACGGTACATCACGTCATTCAACCACCCGCATGCAGTACCAGGAAGCTGAAGAGCAGTGGAAATCCTTTAATGAAGGCCGACTCGAGACCACCATGCCACCCTGAAATTCGGCGTTGCAGCCCGACCGCCGTCGGAAGCCGCCGGAGCCCTATATAAACCGTACTCCCGGAGCGCGCGGGCAGTAGTTACTCGACATTTTTCTCACACACCACATATAATTCTGCGACAGTCTTTTCTTATAATTTCACACATAGTGCTACACATAATTTTTACACAAAGAGCAGTTCTTCAACATTTTTTCCAGACAGTAACACATATAATTTTGCGCAGCAATTCTTCAACATTTTTTCTTTACGACACACACGTAATTTTTGCGCAGTGTTTCACACAATTTTCGCAGTGTTAAATATAATTTTAGAAACACACAGAATTTCATATAACTTTACAACAGTTTCACATTAATTCTTTTATAATTCTTCGACACAGTATTACACTGAATATTCTGCGGCAGACATATGACAGTTCCTTGATATTTTTCTGATAATCTTTACGTAATTCACATTCGAAAATACTAAATAGAATTTTCACGTACAGACGCACATAAGTTTAAGAGTTCAATGACAATTTTCTTCAATATTCACACACAACACCAACTCGATATTCGCACGGGAAATTGTAAAACGCATACCAGTTACGTAGGCGCACGTTCCTATACACTTACACGTAAATATACTTATTTCTATATCTGTATTAAATCATCTCGCCGGCCCGTTGCATCGAAGCATTTGTTCGGGAGATTATCTGCATAAATACACGAGTGTACCACACTATAACGGGGACGACGCCGAGTTACTCAACTTCCACACCGCCCTTCGCCTGCTACTTTAAGGCCACCGTCCGGGCCCTTTTTTCCCTCTGACGACCAGCTAACCATGTGAACCACTTGCGAGCGTGTCCTGGCGAATAACGATAAGATCTACACACGCCATTCTACTATAAAGTAACCGTAAGTCTACTGCATACAACCACACTATTATATTAAATATTATATTAAATGTTTTTATACCAAAAAGTCTAGTTGGCCCTTCACTGCCAATATAAAATAATTTTTATCTCGTTACACGAATTTTATAATCAATCGGCAATACGTTGCCTACAACCATTTAATAAAGATAAACCACATAAATATAACAATTTGTCTCGCTGATTCTTTAGTACAGACCAGAAGGTCCCATATCGGGTTACCATAAGGGCGACTTTATTACCTTTTATCCTGAACCTCCTCGAGCTATCCTGCTTTATACCAACCTCTACCTATTAGAAGTCACTCTTACGGAACATATTAATTGAGATAAATTAACGATATAAATTCGAGTTTCATTTAAATAAATAGATGCCGAAACGAAGCGGCAGGAAATATAGAGAACGCCTACAAAGGTGGTTTACACGTACTACAGCACAAGGTGTACCCGTGTCTATAACACCCAGCTCGCCGAACCCTACAGAAAGAGGGTATTTCGTAATTAATTCAGGAAATTATTTTATCGAAAACCGCGCGTCGCTACGACCACTGCCATCGCGGCCCGTCGCGCCGACGCCACAGGCAACCGAAGAAGTACCAGAATATTTAGAATTAAAATCAAAAGGCCAAGAAGTCCCGGTATCCGAAATTAAATCTGAGAACGATCTAAATAGCAGTGAGCGAGCTGTAGTACAAGCCTTAACGAATGTACTTACCAATAATGTTTAAATTCCAATAAAATACATTTTTATATAGAATTTCTCAATGAAATAACTGTCAATTAACGCATCAATTTTTATTCATTTATAACCCAAGTACAATATTCCCATTTTCCTTATTATAATTTCGATCCTTTATTTCTGTCTAATTAATAACATTTTACATATTAAAATTTCTATTCAATAATACAATTACTATAAGAGTGTCAATAATAAATTCAAGTTTTCCTATCAAGTCTCTGAATTTTATTCTTTATATATTAGAAGCGTAACATAAAATTACATTATTTTTACACGAATTCACGACACGAATGAATTACTTCCTCTCGATGCACGGTTCTCTACCAGCCCAGGCTATTGTCGGTGTATGCAGGCAGGCCTGAAACAAAAAACGAGAACATAACGTTTTTTGTGTCTGAGCGGTCGCGAAGGACGTTACACAGGCGAAGGGCGGTGTGGAAGTTGAGTAACTCGGCGTCGTCCCCGTTATAGTGTGGTACACTCGTGTATTTATGCAGATAATCTCCCGAACAAATGCTTCGATGCAACGGGCCGGCGAGATGATTTAATACAGAGATAGAAATATGTATGTTTACGTGTAAGTGTATAGGAACGTGCGCCTACGTAACTGGTGTGCGTTTTACAATTTCCCGTGCGAATATCGAGTTGGTGTTGTGTGTGAATATATAAGAAAATTGTCACTGAACTCTTAAAATTATGTGTGTCTGTACGTGAAAATTCTATTTAGTATTTTCGAATGTGAATTACGTAAAGATTATCAGAAAAATATTAAGGAACTGTCATATGTCTGCCGCAGAATATTCAGTGTAATACTGTGTCGAAGAATTATAAAAGAATTAATGTGAAACTGTTGGAAAGTTATATGTAATTCTGTGTATTTCTAAAATTATATTTAACACTGCGAAAATTGTGTGGAGTGTCACTAAAATTATGAGTCGTACTCTGCGTGTGAAATTATAAGAAAAACTGCGCGAAAATTATATTTGTGTGTGTTTGAGAAAAAGTCGAGTAACTACTGACAGAATTATGTGTAGCACTGTGTGAGAAATTATAAGAAAAACTGCGCGAAAATTATATTTAACACTGCGAAAATTGTATGAAGCACTGCGCAAAAATTACGTGTGTGTCGTAAGGAAAAAATGTTGAAGAACTGCTGCGCAAAATTATATGTGTTACTATCTGGAAAAATGTAGAAGAACTGCTCGCGCGCTCCGGTAGCACGGCTTATATAGGGCTCCGGCGGCTTCCGACGGCGGTCGGGCTGCAGCGCCGAATTTCAGGGTGGCATGGTGGTTTCCAGTCGGCCTTCATTAAAGGGATTTCACTGCTTTTCAGCTTCCTGGTACTGCATGCGGGTGGCTGGATGACGTGGTGCACCGTGGCGTGATGCATGGTGATGCGATGATGTCATGCCAGACGCGTTCGATCGCGTCCATGCGAGTTCGCTACGCGTTTATTCTATGCTATCTCTATTATATTAACAATTCCGCTGTTACGTATGGCCTTCATAATTACTTATTAATAATATTTCATAGTACTAAGATGCCTTTGCTTGCATTGCCAATATTTTATTCTATAGTCTCGGCCCTTTTTAACAACTGAATTAATGAAATCGCTGTTAACAAAAAGTTTCGCTTAAAATATTACTCACGTTACATCTCAATTAGTACAAATCGGCCGATGGCTACTATGGCCTTTTAATATTATAGTGACGCGAAAGTTTTAAAGTTTTTGGAGGCCTAGACGTTACAGTAGCGCCATCAGATTTTTAGTTTTTTATGTAGTGTCACTAGATTTTTAGTCACCAGATATTTACGTAATGGAGTGTCGGGTTTAATGGTGGGTTTAGTGTAAGAGTGTTTTTACTATCTATCTATATTAAGAGTATATATATATATAAGAATTAAATGTAATAGATAACTGTGTCTTTCCTATTCTATGTAATTTATTCTAACATTTTAATTATGACCTAAGTTATTAAATGGAAAGTTATTATATGTTTTTGGTATATATATTTTTATTATAATTATTTTTGTTTGGGTTTTCTTATTTTTGTTCTGCCCCTTGTAGTCGGGGATTAGTATTGACTCATCGAAACTAGAACTGCTGAAAAAAGAATATTATATCTTCGTTATAGGATAAACTTTACAAAAAAATTGTTATAAATAAACTTTACAAAAAATTTGTTATAAATAAACTTCACAAAAAAAAAACAAATTAATTTTAGAAAAAAACCGTTATAAATAAACTTTACAAAAAAAATCGTTATAATTAATAAATTACAACAAAAACTTAGCCAAAAGATATTTGGAAAAAATATTATTAAAACAATCTTATTCAGATCAATTGTACTTTCGTAAATACTCTATTAAAAATATAAGACAGTTTTATATACTCTCTACAAAAGAAATGATATCAAGAGGTTGAGCTAGTAGCGTAGCGGAGCTAGTAGCGTAGCGTCCACGGTAAGACGTAGACTACTACGCTCGGGGTTGCAGGTTCGATTTCCTGAGTGATTTTTTCTTTTTACATCTCTCCCTCTCAACTCGGCCGCCCGCCGTCACGATGGGCCAAACCGGCGTAACTCAAGAAGTGTTCGGAGTCCACCCACCCACGGAGGGTCGGGCGGGGACGCTCGGATCGCGCTCTCCGATCTCGGAGGCGCGTCCTGGGGCGTCCCTTCACCCGCCCCTCA